TTTTTTTTTTTGGTGAACCACTAAAGTGGATACGATTTTAATAAGTTGAATTTTTATGTTGACTATACTTCAAAAATTGTTTCATTTTGTAACGAGCAGTAACTCTTTCTGAGATGCAGATCGATGAGGACCAGGGAAATGTAAACAGTTTATTATTATTTCTTGTTTATTGGTCTTCTGATGAGCACTGACCACTGGCTACACATTGATAGTCCGGGCAATCTTGTCCTGACAATGCCCAGAGATACAAGCGCATGCTTGATGAGCTTGAGCAGTTGATGTATGTCATCGACGTTCGTTGTCACGCCATCGATGCAGGCACATGAAAAATTTTTGAAAAAAAAAACCACTTAATCCTGAGACTTTTTTGACATCGTTTTTTATTCTCGTAGCTACTGCTTTGGAATGTTGGAATGCTGGCTAATTTTCAGGCAAAAAGTTTACAGATTACGTCAGATGGAGTTGATTTGTACGTGCACTGGGAACATCCCCTGAAAATTTCAGCCTTCCAGCTTCTATGGTCCCCAACTTAGTGGATTTCCCGCCAAAACTTTCACGTGATCAGTGTGATCACTGCCTACTACGGGCATCAGTGCGATGATAGGTTTAGCAATAAGCTTAACCGATTTGTGCCGTTTGCTCCATTTCCTGTTGAATCCACACCAGTACAGTGCTATTCCTTAATTTTGTTACGGCTCTTCTTATGTCGGTTTTTTATGTTATTCATTTTACCACTTCTATATGTACTTTTTGTAATCTTAAATTTCTAGTAATAAAATGCTTCATAATCGATCTCTAATGATACGCCTTTCACACACAGTTCCGTACGGTCATTTTTAGTGGACCCCTCCACCGCAGTGTTGACTCTCACTGTTCTTCTTACAGTGATGAGGGAGGGTACCATTCAATAATCCGCTTCGCTGTTCTGCCGCCACTCATTCTTGCTACATGACCAATCCCCAACCCCTGGCGCACATCCGGTTATATCGTACACTTCGTATTGATGGGAAGGGGCGGGGGGAGGATTCTTTCGTTAGTGATTCTTCCTAAATGACCAATTTTCAACTCGTCGTGATACACATCCTTTTATATCGTACACCTCGTATCGGTGGCAGAAGGGGAGGGTTCACAGTACGTCATTGGTGATTACCTGACGAAATCTGCGTCATATACGAACTTTGGACAATATTTGCTGACTTGGCGGATAATACAGGTGCGCGTAATTCTTTGTACAAATTGATAATACTTATGCTGCATCGCTCCATGATTTCTCGAACCCGCCAATTTTTTTCTCAGCAAATCTTCGAATTCTCCCCGCTTCCGTGCAGCACTACTACTGGCACGTTGAGAAATAATAGATCAACAGGATTGTGCGCAGGCCATGTGTATGGTGTTATTTTACGGTGCAAATTGCCTTTATCTTTTAGATGTAGTAA